TTTTTCCAAGAAAATTGCCAAAAAAGGAAATTTTTTAGGAAATTTAGGATCAGCGGAAAGAGTTTTTTTTTTATTAAAAAATAATTAACTTTTTTTTAATTGATATCAATAGTTATGTCTATATATTAATAGATAAATAAGTTTTTTGAATATTTTTTTGAAGTTTTATTACTAAGTTTTTCAAATATTATAAAATAAAAGATATTTTAATTCGCATTTTTTAATAAAATTTGAATTGATTTTTTTTTCTTTAGTTATACTTTAGCAATTCATCATTTTTTAAAATAATTAATAGTAATAAATTATTATTAATCATTTTAGTAATTAAAGTTTAAGTATCAAATGATTAAGAAAATAAATTGTTTCTTAAACTCAACTTAAAATATTTAGTTGAGACTTAGTTTTATTTAATCTGAATTAGCTTAATAGACTTCTCTTATTTTTTAAGTAGTAATTAATAATAATAAATTAAAAGTCTATAATGACATAATTACAAGTAAAAGATTAATTATAAATTGATTACTTATTATAAATAAATAAAAAAGGAAAAAAGATTGAAAAAAGATTTTGAAAATATAGATCTAAAATGAATATGTACTTACTGTATATCTCCCAAGTCTTATAATAACCGATTTTTGATAATCTATATTTAATATATTTGCACAGCAACAAAATTGTAACTAAGCAAGAAATTATTCCTACGGTGAAGAGGCCGATTTCGAAAACCTGAGATCGCCAATAATCATGCCAGCCGAGATTACCACTGGAACCTCAAGTCCCAGTCAGACCGTTCAGAATAAAGGAAAGGGAAGAACGCCAGAGGAAGAGAAGCTCTCGACAAAACAAGTTGCAAATGAGTATCAACTGAAAGCAATCGAATGGATTGATCCTTCTTTGGGAGAAATACGACGTTTGAAGGTCATCACTCAGAACGGTACTTCATTTGCTTTGTTTTTACTCTTCTTTACATTCTTATACAAGTCACCTTGTTTAACTTGCGACATGCTTTTTAGAGAATGGACCCTGCCCCTTGTTAGCATTATGTGGGTTTGCTCTCAACTTTTTTTCAACCCTTTTGCTGTCCACGTTAAGATCAGTAATACCGACTCGTTTATTCTAGGCAACGTTTTACTCTTAAGAGGGTTAATCGAAATTAAACCGTATGACAGACCATCAGTAACTTATGATTATCTTGTGGAGTTGCTAGGAGACTACTTGTTGAAAACAATCCCGTTCGGAGAGGCCGAGGTTAATATTAATTTTTTAAATGAAATCCTCTAAAAAAAAAAAAAGGAAACGAAACAAATAAAATCTTTGTCGATCTGCTCTTTTAATTTTATGATATTTCATATTACGCGCATAACCTCTGGGTAAAGATTCAAAAAGGGCTGCAGGAATTGACGATTGGTAAATCATCACCGAAGGGTCAGGAACAGCAAGAACTGTCAGGGGAATCCATAAGTAGAAATGATAACGGTCTAGATAGAAAACAGATAGATGTCGAAAATAAAAATGAAAAAGACATCGCAACATCCAATCAGATATCCACAAGACCATCACTACAAGATTATCATCATACATTAAACACAGCGTTATCTATCATTCCTTCTCTGCAAACTGGTTTGGATGTAAATGTCAGGTTTAACTCTATTCATGGATTTGAGCCCACTGCTGAACTATCGGTGTTTGATGTTTTCAATGTAGAGTTGGTTCATGGGTGGGTGGTTGATCCACAAGATCAAGACACGTGGGATGTTGTGGTGGGAAAATGTGGAAGCTATAATAAGGCGGTTGAATGCGTGGTGGGGGGAGACTCTAGCACCGTGCCAGAAAGTTCCGAAAAAAAATCGGATGAAAATTCCGAGGGTGACGCAAGTGCAGTGGAAAGGATTCGAGATGGTAAGATGAAACCCTTTTTTAGTTTTTTTTTTTTTTTTTAAAAAGATTCTCGGTCGTGATTTTTCAAAGGTCTGATTCTATCTAAATTCGATGATTTCAGCGGAGATAACATCACATTTTTTAAAATCGACGGCGACCCAACTAACGTATCACGGATTATTGACATTATCTGAAACATTGCCATCGGGAAATCTCTGTATATTTTTTCGGAATAACCACGTGAGTATCGGAATCAAAAATTGCATCATGAGATTGATCTTCTCTAGGCGTCCATTATATCGTAATAAATGTGATGTTATATTAGTTTTCCACGCTTTACAAACATCCAGAAACGTCGGTACTGTATATCCTAGTAACGGATGCAGGATTTGTTCACGAGCGATCGGTGGTATGGGAATCGCTTATAGACGTGGATCAAAACGCATCTGAATTTGTCGATGGGAAATTTCGTAAATGTGAAGCTACGGGCGGTGACTATGTGAACGTTGACGAACATGAAGTTCACGGGGGCGGAGATCAAGAGTGAGCTGATTATTGCTTTATCCTTAACTTTTCGCACTTAGCTTGATGGTAGTCGACTGACCGTTCTCTCATGGTTTTTCTCGATGAAGTTATGCGCTAGCATTAAGTCTTCAGCAAGAAGAAAATGATCGTGAGGAGGAATACCGTCGCAAAAAACAGCAACAACGTCAACGGGAACAAGAGATGCAGCAACCACCGCAAAAACACAATGATAATATTAATACCCACCTTTCTCCATCTCAGTTGCAAAACGATGCTACCTCGCAAGTTTCAGGCAGTTCACTTGCTACAGCATCTTCATCCGAAAGAGAACGAAAAAAAGAGAGAGAGAAACAAAAAAGGGGAAGTTGTATTATCGCATGATCATTGTTAAAAAAAAAAAAAAAAAAATGGCAGTTATCATCTTACCTCTAGTATTATCATTATCATTATATTACTATTTATTACTATTACTATTATTATTATTATTATTATATTGTTAATCCGACCGCTTCACATGTTACTTTTGTTAAAGATTCGGTATTGTGTAATTATTCTGTTATAAATGATTTTTCTTACAAACACCGGTTTGTACTCTGTATATCATCATATGTAATCTATCGTCAAACAAAAAAATGATCATACCTGAGCACTTTTCATAGAATACCAAATTTACGGTGACCAGTAATTGTGGGTAACGCTCATTAGAAACATTGATATTAACAAGATTTCCGTTTTTACCATCACTGATTGTTTTTATTACACTATGGCGGATGCAGTTTTATCTTGAACCTTTAGGTACTAAAATTTGGGTTTACCAGCGCAAAATTAAATAACTAAAAAAGAAGCCAATCGACAATTATTGACTAATACATATTTTTACAAAATCAAAAAATGATCTTGTACAAATATTTAAAAGTTCAAGAATTCATATAAATTGTTCGTTTGAGTTTCTTTGTTCAGAGACAATGTGCCGCGACACCAAAACTCCATATTGAAAGATCCCGATCTTTCAATTGTTATACATCCAACATTTTCATTGAGAACGTGGTCTATGCTGATTACCGCGGGGGCCTTTTGGGGGGCGAAAATTAACATTTCAAGCTATCAATTGTCAATTTTAAAATCTTTTTTTACTTTTGAGAAACATGAAATTTTCTTTCACCTTGATATCCGTTACCCCTCCCACCCCGAGGACCCGAGTTGGCGTTACCGCTACCGCCACCACGGTTACCACGAAAGTTTCCACCATATCCACCGTTTCTATAGTTTCCATCCCTGCTGTCTCTCCTTGGGTTCTGTCCTTGGCCTCGATAACCCCGGCCTCGATAACCACCGCCACCACGGCCCTTATGACTTGAGGTTCGTGAAAGTGGCGGTGGTTGGTCGTTTTGTTGAGAAATTGGCTTCGGTTGCTGTTGAGAATCAGGTTGGTCATCAGGTTGTTGGTCATCATCGGTGACTTGTTTAGACTGCTCTTGCTGTTTATCAACGGGGAACTGGTTTTTATCGGTCTGCTGCTGTTCCGTCGTATACTCTTGCGTCACGGTAAACGTCTCGGTGAAAGTTTGTTGCTGTTGATATGACTCTTGGATATCACTCTCGATGGCTATCTGATCGACCGGACCATCATTCTCGTTAGTATATTGATAAATAAAATTTTGATTAGCCGCTGAATCCAAAGTAGGCGCTTGAGGCGAAGGCTCATCTGTATGAATATATATATATATATATTGAATTTATGTTCACAAAGCTAACAAATAATTATATTCATTAATCAACATATACCACGATGAAACCTAAACTGCAAGCCCCCAGGCGGAACCTCAAACATATCACCGTTATTGTCATCTTGATTATTTGTAATCTCTTCTTGAGTGATGGTTTCTTCTACCGTTTCATTTGAGTTCTCATGCACCGCTTCTTCTTCAACGCTTATCGGTGGACTCTGAATTAATGAATGAATATGAGAGTCTGAAATTCCCGGTTAGATGAACCACATCCACGTTAGTCAATTGATCTCCTTGAAATTAATTACACCAAGGAAAAATCTTTTTTGAGATTTTCAAGCCTACAGGTTATTCCATTGCCACCAGATTCACCTATGACACTTTCATCACCCTGACATAATTTATCCAGAGTTTCTAAAATTCGTCGTTCGCTATATTGATCGCCCTTGGAATCCTCAATTGCATTAAAGAATAAAGTCTGAAGAATTTCAATCGATTCTGATTCATCTTCTGTAAACCTTGTGACTCCCGATTTGTGAAGATGAACGAGACGGAAGAATTTAAGGAGGCTTATGACGGATTGCAAATGTGTGGCCTGTTAACGCGAATTGGGATCATGTTATCATACGTAAAGCATATATATCTATATATCTCATTTCCGCTGCCGGTTAGAATGAATGAATACCTTGACTTTCTCTACAGCATTGGAAATAGCCTGTTCACGTTCATCCTGTTGCTCCTTGAGAACCTTTTGATTCTATAAAATGTTAAAACCAAATTTTAAATATAAGGAATGCGGCACATAAATTATTGAGATAAAATGAAATAAACCTCTTTCTCAAATTGTTTTGTAATTTCCTCCAATTCCCTGAGAGCACCTGAGACCTCTGATTCCCGTTCACACGATTGAATTTGATCTTCGTTCAATATATTTCTCCAATCGGGGTTAGTATTAATGAGCTCCTTAGATTTCTCAATTTTGCCCTAAACAGTAAATGTTTTTGACAACATTAGATGAATAAACAGATATTTAAATGCGGCCTCGAGTTGTGCGTTTTTGATTTAATGCCTACCAATTTTTTCTTCAAGGTTCTGATCCTTTTACCAACAAACTCCATGTATGGACCTTTATTCGCATTTTCAAGGTTACCTTCCACAGAATCGGGTGCTGGTGTGGTGGGAGACGGTGGTTCCTGGCGTGGTGAAGCGTCCTCTGAAGTAGTTAAGGCCAGAGATTTCTTTTTATTTTTGCGGTTCTTGCTGGATGGTACATTATTAGAGTTATTGGTGTCGCTAGAGGAAATAGCGTTCGGCATTTTCAAAGCAACTAATTTTCTCTTTATTTAGTCTGATTAGCACTAAACTTGCGTTAGTAGACCAAATGAACAGGTAAAAAATAATATTTTTCCTTTATACTTTTCCAAAAAAAAAAAAAAAAAAAGGTGTATCACGTGGGACAAAATGCGTTGGCTGGTTTCAATGAAGTTATAAGTCTTAAATCACGTATAAAAAAGGGCTTGAAAACAAGTTTCCCAATGTGAGAATGCAGAATAAATTTGTTAATTCTGAATAGAAAAAGGATGCGATAATACTATTCGTTAATTTATATCATAGGTTCGAACAATTTCTATCATATTTGTAACATAATTTTTTTTGATTTAATATTAAAATATTAAATAAATTCTTTCTTGAATAAATTCATTGTGTTCTTTCTAAATGATTTCAAATTTAATAAAAATTGATTTCCGTAAATAATAATTTTACCAAAATATATTTCTTTCTATATATAGTATAATATATATTTATCAATTTAAAAATTTTTGACTTTGATTTTGATTTTGATTTTTAATCCACAATCAAGCTAACATTTTTATTGTATGTATATTAGAAGATATTTAATATATTTAAAAAAATGATATTTAATTTCTTTATTGATTTGAATTAATCTTTAATCAATACTATAGATCATTTGAAGTTTTGATTTTTTAATATAATTATCAACTTTATTTTTTCTTTATCTTAAATTATATATATATATATGTTCTGTATTTGAATTTTGTGATTTTTTTTTTTTTTTTAATAAAATCTAGTTTTTTTTTTAATATTTACCTTAATATAATAACGATTTTATATTTGGTTTCAAAATTTTTTTATATTTTTCAATAAAGTTTATTAATTATATTTTATATAGAAATTGATGAAATCTTGTAATACTTTTTGAAATATTTTAAGAACATAATATTTTTATCTATATATTTATATACTATATTATAAAAACCTATATTCAATTACTAAAATTTTTTAATATTTTTACTAATTCACTTATAAATAAATAAATAATTTTTTATTTTAATTTTTTTTTATTATATATAAACTAATTTTATTCTATATCTCCATTTTTTTGTTTTATTTATGGTTAAATATTTAAAAAATATTTTAATATTTCTTTTTAAAGTTTATATATTATACTAATAAAAAAAAAATTATTTAATATTGTCTTTTATATAATATTTGACAAAAAAAAAAACAATTCAGTAAAAAAATAATATAAATAAATTGGTAACTATATAATTTGATTATAAATATTACAAAATCGACATTTTAATAATTTATTAACAATTTGTCAAAAAATTTATTAATAATTTATTAAATAATATATTAACAATTTAATAAAAAATTCATTAAGAATTTAATAATAGTTTATTACAAAATTATTTATTAACTATTCAATATTAATTTATTAATAATTTGTCAAAAATTTGTTAATAATTTATTAATAATTCAATAACTACTCATAAAAATTATTCATTAAAGATTCATCAAATATTCATTAAAAATTTGATAACTATTCATATAAAATCCATCAACTATTATTAAAACTATAATTAAAAATTTGATAACTATTTATTAATAATAAAGTAAAAAAATTAATAAACCTATATATAAATTTTTCTGAATTAAAGTTATATTTATAAATTTTTTTTTTTTTTTATATTAACCCGCAACCATGTCACATGGCTTGATCTTTATTGAGAAGTTATATAGCTATCTACAATATTACAGATTTTTCACATGATAACTAACTCATCGTTATACCTAAGTACTCTAAGTCAGGTCTAGAGGACAATGTTTCATTCCCCTAAGGGATTGGTATACCACCTCTAACCACTAGATTCATCGCCAACAGTTTGTCACTGTAGATTGTCCATAAACTATGAATTATTAAGTTAAAGGGAAAGAGGAAAAAAAGAAATTGGGAAAGGGAAACAATTCAAGGTCCCACCAAAAAAGTCTAAAAAGAAAACAATCCTCCTCTCAAAAGGGATCTGCCTGATTGGGATAGTCTTCTTGCTTCTCTTGAGCCTCGGAAGAGATCTTCTTTGTCACCACTTGCGGCATCGGATGAATCAATCCAACTGGTCTTTTATTTAAGTATATACCGGATTGGGATATCTCAAGAAAAGTATTTAGACCTCAGCTTTTGTCCATTAAAGCTTTGTCAC